TCAACTAAATATATATGCAGAAATTGTGATAATCGAAGCTAGCGTCTGAAATCGACTGCTTCTGAAATAGAGTGCTATTAAGTACCTAGACTCAGGCTAGGTGACATTATGCACTAAAAAGAAACTGGAGTACTGCACACTCATGTGCAGCTAGATTAATAATCATGTTCTGAGAGTTATTCTGAAAGGGAATGAGGATTTAACATACCGCGTACAGGAAAACTGATGAGCAACTTTCGTGAAGTAAACAAAATGACTTGCACTCTTCTAAGCTTGTCACTGTTTGGACAAAAATATTTCTCCATGGATAACTTCTATCCGGACTCCAAGTTTCCCACTTTGCTAAATTCTGTGAGCATCCTAGGTATGATGCTTTCTCTTTGAGTAGGGTGAGACATTCACAGTTCGATGACTTTTGTAAGTAAACTACAAATATCAAAATCTGAAACCAATTCATGCTGGGACAGTGGGAATTCACATGCTATGAATAATATCACTGTATGTCCGTGAACGTATCTACGATTTCAGGGACTATTTCTCACATGCCATATGCTCTTTATATCGGTAAGCCCAGCAGGTGAGGGAGGAATGAAAACAATGGAAATCATCACTTGACCTTCCACCAACTGTTGCGTGATATATATAACTATAGAAGCACAGGTCAATGTAAACAGCAAAGTGAACAGTTACAACCTATATTATCAGGTGGAAATTATCGTGGCAAAGAGACATTTGATTTCAGCTGTACAGGGGGTTTTAATCCTTGGATAAATAACGGCTAAAGTCAAAATATTATTTTACATTGATGATTTACACCTAACATTAAAGCTTGCAACTATCAAATAAACTATTTTTATTGACTTCAGTTTCCTTAGTTCCACATAACACGCAACAATTGTTGAAAGGCCAACTGAGGATCTCCATTGTTTTCATTCTCTTCTCACCACCTGGCCTTAACAATATAAAGAGCGCATGGAATATGACACAGCATACAACATAAGAAATAAGGTGTGAAGTGATAGATAAATGACATATCAATCTGTGATACTCTTGCAGACGATGTTAAACACAATACTTGTGAAAAAGTGTCAGTCATATATTTTCAGTGTTTATTATGTCAATCGAAACAAATGCTTTCTTCCAGAAGATATCACCGCCCAACTCTCAAGGTAGTAAAAGAAACTGGATAAAACGTTTCTGGACATAAAGTTCATGTTTGACCTCATGGAGAGTAAGAGCTTCCTCTGCATGAAGAAAATACAAGTGCAATGCCTTCGATCAGCGTGCTCTTAATTTTCACATGGCTCAGAACAGCTAATCATAGCCGACCGTGTTAGTTTTAGAGCAACTGTATTCTGGATTCTATAATTAATAATAATTATTATTATTCCCATCATCCATATTTTATCATCACTCTACTACTGTTTATTAATAACGTTTTTTCATACAGATTTAATATAAAAACACTTTATTATCTTTTCCCTAGTTTCTGTCCATTCCACACGAGCTTACTGATTAGTCATTATCTCACACCTGCTATGTCATACCGACTTCTGCCTCTTTTCTAACTTCCAATTAGTCACCCCTTCTAGGTTACACCTTACATTACACAATACACTTTCCGAGGACAACCTTAACCAGTATCTGATTGATCTAATGATTTCTTTGTTAAATATATTTAAGGTTGAAAACCTCATGAAAATGAATCATCGAAGTGAAAATTTTCTTCTCTGTTTACGCCTTTTTATTATGACTCAATATGGGAATATTTCGTTCATTAAATCTATACTGTTAGATAGAGTTATGTCTAGGGTTCGGGTTACGGTTTGTGTAAAGGTTAGGGGTATCTTGGAGAAGAGAGCCAGTAATATCGATGGATGCCAAATCGCCTAGATCTGTGGTTAGCTGGACGAATATATCTATCACATTTAACAGGATGTTGCTATGGTTGATTTGTTGTGCTGCTATATTTTGACTAAACTAGCGTACACGTATATCTTAGTACTTCTTCGCGTTTATAATTGTGTCCTAACGTTGCGATTACTCGACATCTACAACGTAATTCAAAAGGCACTTGCGAAGGAATACGACAATGTATTATTACAGCAATCAAAATTCAAAAATCGAGCGTGTACAAAAGTATCAATTGTTAACATGCAAGATTTAGAGTAATAAACAAATCAAAGTCCAATTACATAGTGAAAGTATACTGCGATGATGAGTAATAAAACGGGTCACTACAGATTCTTAGGTTTACTAGTAGACACACAACACATAAAAGACAAATAGCTGTTGTGACCATATTTACATTGTTTTAAAGCGCAGTTTTTGACCACTGTGTGACTTGTAATCATCTGAATTCTGACTGGTTCCTTAGGTCACTTTTACTTTTGGCTATGATGGTTTAACTTTATCTGTTCTGTCATCCCACAGAAACCTGCCATCGCACCGATTTCCCACGTCCATGTAAGTGCCATACTAGTGACTGACCGTGATGAGTACCTGTATATCAGAGAACTTTACAGCATTATACCCGCTTTTGACCCTGCTCAGGAACAATTTAAACCATCCGATTTCGAGGTGGAATAATTGCCCTGAACTGTGTAAATTACGAATGTGTTTGATGATATCACCAGTTCTCTCGAGTAACCAGCCTGAAACCAGGTAGTTTGGACTGATTCTGCTCTCTAAACTGGGTCAAGACCGGGTAGACTGCCAACAAGCTAAGCACCAGATGTGCGAAAAGACGGTCCGGTGTTTAGATCGCTTCGATCTGGTTGGCAAGCACTATCGGCTGATGTGAGTGATACACAGATACTCACTTTAATCAATCAGCAGTATGAAGTTTTACGCATTTACTCTTGATTCCCTGATTACTTCCTCGAAGTTTCAAGAAGATCACATACTTTGGTATTAATAATCCTGTTTTCCTAAAGAAATTACGGTGATGTAATCAGCTCGAATTGTGTAAATTGCAAACTTGTGAATCGGTTTGCAAAGCTTGGAACTAATTTGCAAATTGCCAGTTTGATCTAATTTTTATGGCCTAAATACTTTACGCTCGTCTATTTGTGTCAGTTACTACTTTATGTTCTGATAAAAAACTCTCTGTCCCTTTACAGTCAGCATTCTTTTTCGAGGGCGGCCATAGTTATCATAGGAATGAAGTCATCGACTACTTTTTGATAGCAATATTCAATTACCGCCTACACCCCTTGATCGTTGGTGAATGGCAATCTAGTGGCCAAGACTCCGACAGTAGAGTTTTTTAATGCTTATGAAGTCAAGTTTACTGTAATAACACTGAGAACGATGTTATCATTGGTTGGCTGACCCTACTAACTAGGTGTGAAATCTATACTGTGTAGTGGCTACTGCTTACTAGCGGTTCCACTTGTACATTCGGCATAAACACGACACCGCCCCTAACAGAATGATCTAGCATAGATGGTTCGTCTTCCACCTCCCAACCTGATTTGCCTCTAATGGTTTCTTAGGGATCAGGGTTTATGATGACACTCAGTGGCTACCCTATTTGCATTCTTTCGATCATTGTTGAATGGCGTTGTACTGAAGTCACCAGAGATAGAGATTTGGCTGCATCCAATAGTTGAGGACTATGTGAATCTATTCAACCACTTGTCTTTTGAGTTTCACTTCGCTTGTCACGCATCAGTATACTTTCCCAGTCAGAGACACACTGTTGGCTACAAAAACTCAACACCAGATTGACCCCTGGAGTTCAATCATATCTGCATTAGCAGCTAAAACTGACTTTATCTCTTTGTATATTACACTCCATCTCCTCTAGAGTTCCTTCCTTACCCAGTCCATTCTGTACAGTGTCATCCATTTTATGATAACTTCATGGTTACCACACAGCTCTTAAGAGATTGTTCGTGACAGATCTATTAATGAGATCATGTCATGTGAGCATGTAGCGGTAAATAATTCCCACAATCATCATTGAGCATTGGATGCTGACCCACACTGTTTTAGTCGACTTGTTCAGATGAAGGCTTCCGATCAAGTATCCATGCCATTTGGTACTCTGTCGTGTCACGTTCGTGTACGGTCACTAGCCAGTTAAGCAATCAGCACGCAATCCATCTTGGTACCTAAATATATCTCGTAGTTTGGACGATTAAATCTGGTCTTCTGCTTTGCCTTTGGTACACGAGGAACGAATACTGTAGAAGTTGTTGGTAGAAGATCTTGCTTTTGTATACCCCGTACAATTCGCGAAAGTCAACACCGTCAGTCTTTTAAACACCATAGTTTCATTGAATTTGAGAATGTAAACGCCCATACAATCTATGAGGACGGTTCATAGTTCCTAATGTTTTATGAAGATTTACGTTAAGAACCGCCAGTATGCCTTCGATGGAGAGCTGTAAATAGTAGCCAGGAGACCATGCAGACTGACTTCAGATTTTTCTCCGATGAGAATGAAGTCTCCACATAGCTTATTTTCAACACTCCCCTTCAATGCAATATAAATATTTTGTCTCACTGATATATTTGTGTTTTATTTTAATTGTTCGCTCCCGGGAAAATGAGTTATAAAAAGTGTCTTAGTTCAGTAAACTTCATTGTGAGCGGTAACCACAAAAAATCACATAAAAGCCTGAAAGAAACCCGAGGAAAGTTAGAAATTTTCTAAAACCTTGCTCAGTGATATCAAAAATGAAAGTCAGTCAACATTGACAGACTTATTTTGGAACAGAATAGCTCATGGTCACCAGCCAATAAAATGGATATCGTTATTAGATGATTATAGGCAACCGGTAGAAATCTTTGGACCTAGGTTTCCTACTTGTTGGAACTCATCTTCAAGGCGTATCTGCAATCTCGAAAAAACTCATGTCACCTCTGAAATTCGAACCCATGTCACTCAGTGCTGACACCAGTTAGTGCCCTATGAAAAAACGGATATTGTACATTGAAAAGTTGATAATATGCGGCCTTCGTCGGATTTTTGACTTGGTTGGTTACAGGATATGTCTGGTAAACGGAGAGCAGATGTTTTGGATCCGGATTTCGCTGTTATCCGTCAGCAGATTTCTAAACTTTTGCAACAAAGTCTTTACGACTGCAAAAGTTTCCTGCTGATGGTGAAGTCGCTCTATCCAAGTTCTATAAAGTTGGAAGTAACTCATTGTTAGTCTTACCAGCCTAGATGATTGAGTATGAACTTTTTAAAGAATATGGAGATAGCACTCTAGCTGCTGAGATACTATGTCGCTTGTAATCGCACTTTATATACTAATGGTTGACCTAGCAGATATGAAAATCAGAAGCATCTTGATGTATCACAAGTTGATCTTCTCAGTAAAATAATTCAAAATCCCACTGATAAAGTGTGTTGTGGTAAGACGAAATACCTACTTAATTTTCAGAAATTTTTTCGAAACTAACTCCGTCACTGCAGAAACATCTAGCACAATTCTATATGAAACAAATTACCAATGACCTAATCAGAGCCGACAGCATTATATATTTGCTTAACTCGAAAGATGTAGTTTTGCACCCTCAAACTCTGCCCATGTTACTTACAATGGCAAACCAAAGTTTTATGGAAGGTGAAAACACTTTGCGTAAAAACATGGATGTGAAAAATCATTCAGCAGCTGCCTGTGGTCGTGAATCATTCGTAAAGTAATTCATTTGATAAAAAATATATTCATTAGGATTGAGAACATAGATGAAGGTGAAGAAGGCGAAGTAGTGGGAGGCGATGACGAAGACGAGTTCGTAGATGATCTCGATACATGCAGTGCTGAGGCTAACGGCAATGCATTGAGTGGTATTCCAGTCTCAGTGTTAAATATATTTCGTTTCAAAATAACCTACGAGTTGCTTCCGGTGGCATACAAGGTAACTCGGAACAGACATATAACCCTTCTCAGGCTGTTAGTGTTGCCAAACTCGACAAAAATCTTATATATAGAATGTCAGTTACATCCCTCAACTTCCTGTTAACATACATAGCTCACATTCCGGCAAATCCACCCATCGACGGGCTGGAAGATGATGTGTTTTCGACGAAAAAAGACCCGAAAACGTACATAGCAGATTGTTTGAAAATGATAGGACACATGTTGCAGTGGCCTGTTAACAATACTTTTGACTTCACTTCTAGTAGAGGCCCGTCTGCCCTTGTACAGCTTACTAAGGATTTGTTTCGGGAGACCATGTCTTCATGCGAAAGTTCACCTACAAAGAAGGATACACGTGATAAAATGCCTCGTCCTTCTGCTCAAAGTCTAAGTCATAAATTTCATGCTATGGCCTTCCAGGCGCTCTGTGTATTTTGGTACACACTTATTGATATAGGTGTATCATACCTGAACAAAGTTCGTTACGGAATCTTCGAAAACAAGCCAAGAAAATCCTCTGCAAGTAGGATATTTTACTTCCCACTGAATCTTAATGCTATTTTGAATCTAATATCTAATAAGGGTTCTACTCTGGAGAATGAAGACACAGTACTCCTGAAATATATTCATGAAATCTGGAGTTTTCGTAAGTACAATTCCAATTCATACTCTTTTGGTGTTCAAGCACTGGATACATTGGAAGAAGATATTCGTCCACGTTCCTACGGGTTATGTGATTGTAGTTACGAAACACATTTTGAACAAATCATTCGTTTAGATTTTGCTCTGAGTGGTCTAAGTAACAATCACCAAGAAATATTATGGGCTTGTAAATTCATGAATAAATACCGCAGCAGTATATACCGCAACCCAGAAGCCACTTTTATATATAGGTTTCTTCAGATGCTCATAGTATCACTATGGCCTAAAGAAAGTTGTATTGCAGTCAGACGGGAAGCTTGCCATGGAGTATGGGGAGATTTCGTAAAAGAATTTAGGTCAGTCTTCTCTCTTCTTGATCACAACAAAGATGAAAAGATTCATCTTCGGAGTATTTGTCATGTTGTACCACTTACCCGTACCGTCATGGTGTTCATTATATCCAAAGCTTTGGCAAGCAATTTATGTCATGTGTCTCGGGAAACAAAAGATGCTGTTATTGCTGTTAAATCTGCTTGTTTGGCATGCGTATTATGTCAGGCTGATGCAATGTCGAGTGACGTATTTTATTCAGAGCCTGACTGGCCGCCTTCATTTCCGTTTATTTCGGAAATAATGCATAATCATTGGAATAATATGCGAAACCAGTTCCTGGAGTGGTTGTTGTCTCCGACCGAATTTATTTTCGATGTGTGTTTGCTGAATGCAATGTTTCAATTGGAGTGCACTGTTGGAATAGCAGCTGAGTGGTACGTTCTATGCAACTCATGATTATTGCTTTTAGAATTTTTTGTTACAATATTTATAATTTAAAATGAATTTACTACTAAATGCTACCACATCTTTCTCACAGTACCTCTTGGGTTTTAATTTAACCTAGTCCACATCTGTCACAGTGTACATGGTTTTTAGCCCAAACGATGCAGAAAACACCAATATTTTGATTATGTCAAGTTTATTATCATGTTACGTGCTTAAATGTACAATGAGTACCCATAGATAATCACTGATTACAAAATAACTGTGAATACCATCTGCACAATTCTTACATCTGCTCGGGCAGTCACTGTCTTCCTGGTAGTCATATCATTCCCTACATTACTAATAGAATATCTTAGTCTTGTAAGGACCTTGTTGAAACGACATTCTTTGTTCAGTCAAATTATTAATTAGTAAAAACTACGCTGTTGGTTGTTGGCCGGTTTCCTGAAATTTGTAAGGATAAATAAGGCAAAAAAAAAAACAGTGTTTTGTGTTAATCCTCATCACAAAGTGTAAGTTACCTTAGAATGTCATATATCTACTCTGTTGTTATCACCAGTATAATGTCTGAATTTCTATGATAAATAATTCATGGTTCTAAGATTTATAAGCAGTGATTTAAGCCAGTTAGGTTGAAAATCAAAACTAAAAGTAGATTTGTAATTACGGATATAACCAAAGAAACTAGATTGTGCGAGATATTAAGTTGATTCCGATATGTACTCTTGTCAGGCATTTGAAATTATTTTGTTTATTGCCTAGTCTGTCATTAGGTAAGTCTTGTGAACTACTGGAGTATAAATAATCAATAACTTGTGTTTGCATTTACTATTCATCCCTTACGCTGAGAGATGCACAAGATTAAAAACAATTCTCCTTATTGATAGACTTGAACAAAGCAAGAGCAAAAGGTGTGGCAGGATAAAATGAGTTCATTTTGATTATTTCCTGAGTTCTTTTCAACATACTACAACCTAAGCAGTACATAAATATGTCAACTACAAAACATGATTTGAACATGCCTTCATCACGTTGACAAATTATTAACCTACGCTATAAGCAGTTACATTTTTAAAAGGTTAGATTATATGTGGGATCATAAAGTGAATATCCTTGAAAAGAACTAGAGGGAACAGAGTTTGAGAATTTGGAGAGAAAAAACTCGTTAAAAGAAAGTATTTTAGTATAATAGGTTGGTAATCATAAAACTGATGAACAGTAGCAAGAACAATAAGGTGAATAATGTGCAGCTGGAAAAGCAGAGTAAGTAATACTGGGCGATACACAACGTAAGAGCTGTGTATCTGTTTTATGAGTATAACCACTGCAGCAAAGCCAAATACACCACTGCCTTTTAATGTACATGTAAATTTGCTTTGCACTTGTTGGTAGCGATTGTTTCGGCTAAACGTAGCCGATTGCGTTTATGTAGCCTGGCAAATATTTTGAACTCCTCTAGACTGTCCAACAGATAGCCCTAAATCACACCGTTTAGTGCCTGTGTCCTTAAGTGTCAGATTTTCTTGTACGTGTTCAAAAGAGCGGACAGCAACCTTTTTTTCGTGTTAATTGGTGGATACAGTTAAAGATAACCGTTCGTCTGATACAAGCGTACGATCTTACCAATAGGATGTTCTTTTTTGGTGCAATATTCGGTACCTGCTTTATGGCTGAGACAGTCATTGAAAGTGGGAGATATAGAAACATTTGCTGCTTTTAGCCGCAGATACTTTCATCCTGTCTCCCGTGTTAGGTGATGTAATATATTATTGTTATTATTACCATTGTTCCCTTGGGTATCCATAGTCTCTCGTCTCCTCCTCGCACGGTCTCCTCCATGTCAACCTCGGGTTCATGCCCAACTCGTCATTTCCCATTCATGCTCCACTCAAGGAGCTGGGGCGCGATGTCATCCGACTGTCTCCTCAGCGTGTTTCGGATTGATCTCCATTTCTTCAGCGTATATGTTGAGCAATAGGTACTTGATTGGTTCATTTACGGAGTTTATTGTTGCCAGTTCCTTCTACCCATTTGATTTTCGCTTTGGAACGAGGCAGATGTTGATAAAAGTCTGCAACTTCTTGGAAATGCTTTTCGTGACGTGCTGATTTCGTGATCTATATAGAAGAAATAAATTAACCTTCGTTTTGAAAATCAGAATCTTGCTTTTGATGTTGAGTACAGCAAATTTGCAAACTGATTTCAGAATGATGGTCTACCTAGCTTTTTCGATTCTGATTTCGATATCCTCATCCGTTCAGACTGTAGTTGAAACGATGGTTTTAAATAAGTGGACGTAGTGACCTCTTTCAAATTTCTCCCGTTGGTGGTGATTGGTGCTGGTCGTTGTTTCTGTTCCTTGGTTATCTTCACCACCTCCGTCTTCCCTATGTTCACCTGGAGTCCTGTCGTCGCCTCTTCTTCAACCAGCTTGTTGGTTTTCGCATGTAGGTCTTCAAGTTTGTATGACATTAGACATAAATCTTCTGGGAAATCCAGGTCTTCTAGGGTCTTCTTATCGCTCCAACGTATTCCTGTCTTCTCGCTCCTCACATACGGTGTGCCGCAAAATCCAGTCTACTACAATTAGGAACATCACCGGTTATCATAAGCAGTGTTGTCGAACTCCTGTATTCACTTCAAACGCTTTGTTGGATTTTCTTTTCTAAATCACCTGACTTATGACACTGTCATATAGCCGTTGAATAAGGTTGATAAAGACTTTGGTACTGCACGCTGTAGTGTTGAAGTCGTTTCCAAATTACTTCGCCGTCAACGCTGTTGAAGGTCTTTTCGAAGTCGATGAAATTGAAGTGAGGGTTTGACTGCTATTCTATGCTCTGTTCAATGATGTTTTGTAAGGTTACAATCTGGTCCGCACACAGTTAGCTTCACTTGAATTCGACTTGTTCTGGTCAGAGATATGCATCCAGCTCATCTTTTATTCTCTTCTTCATGATGACGCGACTTAGTATTTTGCATGCTGTTGACAAGAGCATGCTTCTGCGCCAGTTCTTGCAAAGGCCTCAGACGACATTTCTTCTGACTTGTAAGCATCTTTCTTTCCTTCCAAATTATTTGCAGCCCTTGCAATAATGACGTCAGCATATCTGCTGCAGTCTCTGAATCCGTTTCCGATGCTTCAGGGGGAATTCTGTCTCGTCCTTTGGGGATTTCATTAGCTTGATAGCATTGATGACTTCTCTCTTTTGGAGGATTGGTGTCCCCTACTAGTTTTGTGGTTGTTAGTGGTATTTCTGGGTGAGTTGCAGGTAACGGCCGGTTCAAGAGTCCCTTGCAGTGACCAGCCTATTGTTTTCTTTGGTTCCTCCAACCGCAAATCATTGGCTTCCTCCGTGTTGATCTCTTGCCGCATAATGACCTGATTATCTGATATAATGTTCTGAGGTTTCCTTCACCTGCAGCCTGCCTGTTCTGCTACAGTTGCTGGCCAGTGTGTCGTAGAATTGTCTTTTGTCCTCCCTAGCACTCTTCTTTACTTCTTTATTCAGTGCAGTGTACATTGAACTCAGCTTCTCCTTTTGTTTTTTATCTTTGCATTGGTCCGTCTTCCGTTTCACTATCCTCCTTCCCTCTATTAGCTTGCAGGTGTCCGTTGAGAGCCTTTCCTTGTCTTACCTCTTCTTTATTTCCAAAACGTCTGTACACGTTTCCTTAAACATCACTTCTAGAGATTTCTAAAGTTCTTCCACACAGGTTTCCTCAGTGATGCTACGTAATGTATCCGACTTTGCTCTGGTGGCTGTAGTGAAGGTGTGTTTTGTAGTTTTGTCCTTCAGTTCCTCAGTGTTGAACTTGAATTGTGATCTAACTTCATCTGCTTTGAAAGCTTTGAGCTTAACCTTAAAGGTTCCTTGCACTAGATAATGGTATGAGTTCACACCTGCTTCCCTTCTTGACCTTGTGTTCATGTAATCCACTATTGTTTGAGGTTGACTAGAAATCTTCTTTCTCCCTTTCCGAGTTGTCTATAGGCGCGTGGCAGTGGATAATTGTGACCTTCCTCCCTTTTGATTTGAATCTTGTCAAAATCCTAGAGGAGATTGGTTCCCACTGCATAAGAGCTGTGGCTTATTTTGGTAACATCATGATATCTACTTCCTCAGTGTGTTTATGACTGTCTTCTGGATGACTGGAGTAGGTTATTGACTCTCCAGTTAACAATTTGGATAGTCCACATCCATTCCACCTTCTCTTACAGATTCCTAGCAATTCCATTTCGTATCTTCTCATTTCTTTAGCAATCTGAGCAGTGTTTTCGACTTTTCAGATTGAACGGACATCTCACATTCCAGTTTTTATTTTTGCTTTGATCGAAAGAAGACATTGGTTGGTTGGCTTACCGAAAGCTCTCACCAGCCCGCTTCATACCGTCTCTCCGATTCCAGCGATGGATAAGTTCTTTAAATATTTTTCATTAGCTTTGAATTTTATATAGCAGTGTGTTTCATTTTCCGGCGTAGGGTCTCAGGCCAACACCTAACCATTCCTCTTCTTCCAGTCTTGGGACCAGCTAGGAAACTGGCGACCTAGTAAACTAGGCAAGGTTAGGTAGTATAATACGGTGAGTAATGTTGAAGTTAGGCGTTGAGTGTTAGATAAGGAGGGAAAGTCAATCGATGAGGATGTGAAGCTACATCGATTGAGATGGCTAGGAGATATAATATGTATGCCTAGTCATCGTCTTCCTCGACATAGCATCAGGTTGAAAAAGAGCTAGTGGTAGTCAGACCGAAACTTGGCTTCAGACCATGAAATTTTTATTAGTTATTTTGAACCACGTAGGAAAGAGTAGACCTTCTGACTACTAGGGTCTTTGGGATTCTAAGAACCAGTGACTATAGAAAATCGGTGATATGGCTCAGAATTGTTCTCAGTAGTGCAGATGCACTAACTCCTTGTCATCCTTCATATCCCCTAAATCCCCATGTTTGTCAATGCTACTTTTCCTTTCCCCTCGCACTTGTTCTTATTATCGTTCTCTTGAGTTTCTTTTTTCTCTCTTTTGTCTTCCTTTCCATGGTACGTGGAGTGTTGCAACTCGTACTGCTGGGCTTCTGTGCAAAGTTCTGTGTTAGAACTAGTCATCGGTTTTCGGTCTAGACTTTGTTTTACCAGCAATGTAATCACTGCTGGAGGCAAGTTGTAGAGAGACAATGTTTTCCCTACAATGTTGCCATCCACTTTCCCATCGTGGTTTTTCCATACTTCATACGCGAATTCCCCTTCATCAGTTGAAAAGAATCTGCGTAATATTGAAAGGTGAACTCCTTATCCTACTCCACTTTCTGTTTTTCCTTTCTTCCGTGTTAATTAGTTTTCAGTTTTCTGCTGAAATTGCGTATTGAAACTAGCTCTGTAATGAGTTTATCTGCTACCTTATTTCATGTTTCTTGTATGTAATATGTGCAACATTGAGATTTTTTTTAGAATTTTGAATATATTTGTGCGTTGAAGTTTTAGTAGCAATTTGGTTAAGTTTTGGGGGTGGAGTTGCTAGCACCACGCCCCAACCCTCCCTCTTAATCCGGGCTTGGGACCGGCTAGAATACTAGTGACCTAGTAATCTAGGCGAGGTTGCAACATTGAGATAGCTACTATCAAACAATAAGTAAACTACGATTTCTGTCCATGATGGTTCACTGACTTTCTTCATAAAAATCTGGTCAGATATAATTCACGCTATTCATCTTAAATCTTATTTCTCACTTATCAGAAAATATTGCAGCATGTTTTGCATATCTTGCTTCTGAATTTTCTGTCAAGTTTTGATGATAACAGTCATTAAAATAAATTGGCGTTTAATCGTCACCAGTAGAAAATGTACACCAGTTAGTCAGTTGATCGCTGACTATGTTATACTCACGTGAAATTCTCCACTATCATACGTTTGTGATCAACGACATCTTAATATGTACAGAGACCTATTTCATGTCTTCTACAAAGTAAACATGTGCATACTATGGGTTTGTTGCTAAGGTCAGCTGTGTTTTGTGTTGCACTCTAATTCTTAAAACTGAAGTGTTCAAGCTTTAGACTGCCATTACATTTGTAACGTTGCTTCTATGAGACTAGTCCGCCACTTACAGCACTGTGGAATTCAGGCAGCGTTTGAACTCATACAGTTGATGAGGTCGTACGGATGTATAATCTGATATGGCTATTACATTATACGTGGTTTTATACGCTTTTGTAACTGAATTCATATGTGTGAGACTCTGTTGAAGTTGTATGAAGATGTTCTGTCAATCTTTATTCTCTCTGTGTTTCATTTGCTTCAGTGTGTTTGTAGTGCTTTTGTTATCGTTTGGTCACATACGTTTGCACCTAAATCTGACGTTTGACAGAGAGCCTGATTACACAGCAATGCTAAGTCATATTACTGTTTGCCTGATCGGTCATTAAACAGGTACCTTGTTGGCTTATTTTGGCTTACGTAACAAACAGTTATTATACAAAATACGTATTTGCGGTAGATACAATTTGGTCATAAATAATGTCGGAAATGAGGTTTTGTCCAAAGCTTTGCGTTTTTCTCAATAAAATTCACTGTGCTGTATACTGTATTGGTCATACTAAACGAATGTGAATATTTAAAATGTAAACAGACCTATACCTTCATTAGCAATAATAGTTTTTAGTGTATACAATATTGTGAAGCCGTAACTGTGTTTGAAAACGATCTTAAATAATTTTCATTTCGCCCTGTCTAACCAGATAGTTGTATTTACCATCATATCAGTCATACAACTTTCTTCAAACAGTTCGTGACCACATTCTTCATAAATTAAAGAACATCAGATTTTGACCAATGGTCTAGAGTAAGTTTTTTCCAACCACTAGGTAAACCTACCTTTTCCACTAGTTCAGCCGATTGCCGGACATTCACTTATGTTATTTTTCATCCTCCCCAGCAGTTTTTGTTTTTTCAACTATTTTTTACCATTACTTTGTATAAGTGCGTATTTCTACAGGTTCAATATTCCGGATTTTAATCAAATTTTAATTTTTATGTTAAGGTCTGATCGTGAAACATTCTTATCTCGTTGTGTCAACTTGGTCCAGTGTAAGCCACCTGATAATGTGGATTCTATTCTCGAGGAGTTTATACATATCGAATCTTCTAATATTTCATCATGCTTAATGTCAATTGAAAAGTGATTGAAAAAAAACTGTCAACGTTATTTTCCGTATGTTTTAAGAAATGTTAGAAAAGTAAGAAGTTTCTTGTACAGTCTGTATTTCACTGCTATGTGTTACACTATCGTAATAAAGTCATCCGATAATCATTTAATCAAAGCAGTATTTATTTTCATTCAATCTTTAATTAGTAATTAGATACAGCTTTTACTGAAGGAGAATTTCTTTTCAATTACATCGAGATAAAATCTGCACAATCTTACATCATATAAAACAGTAAGAAAGGCTGTTGTAAGCATGCTAAAGTTTGTAATGAATGGGACCCATCATTTCTATTGGTGTGGATGAAGTTGAATAATAATTGCATCTATTATATATGGAAACCTGAGGATGAATATAATTATTAGATCAGTATAATGTGATACTAAAAGTAGTCAAATGAAAATTGCGATGTAGTTGTGTTCTCTGAGCTGAATGATTTAATTATTAAACTTTCATTGTCCCTCTAGACATCATCTTCAGGGGTAACTTCAAGACGAATTCAGCTTTTAGAATTCCTCGTTGAGTGTAATGACCGGGAACATGATTGGATATCTCTTCGCGTTCATCGGTACTGATTCTTGTACTGACGTGATGTTAGTTTGTTCATGTGACTTCCTTTTCAGTACTCGGTAGATTTGATCTGTAGCAATAAATATGCTTTTAGTTTGAGTTCCAGGCTTCTAGGAATTCTTAGAAAATTGTTAACTAAGATCTAATATGATGGTCTTTTAGGAGTAGTGACTATCCACAGCGGAACTTTCCAGGGATGTAGGTAGGCCTATCTGTTGTCTGATTTGTGTCACTGCGAAGATCGTAGATGGCAGGCGAGGATGAAGCATGTAGTATCAGAGCGGTCATCTTAAACATCGTGCTGGAGGTCAGCTATGTGAAAGTAACTTACCAACTACTCGAAACCGTACCGGGGATTTCAAACAGTAACGAAACGCAGACAAAAACAAAGTTACTAACAAGCGTGAAGTTGGTAAAAATTAAACAATAGAGTTCAATAGTGAGAATGAAGATATAATGGTAATGTATTAAATAACCAAACACGAGTGATTGAGTTGCAGGTGGGGCACGCCTCTTATTGTCTCCAATTTATACATATTAGATTTTCGTATTTGTGTCATTCCCTTCCAATACGTTTAGACAGTAAAATAATTTCATTTGAAGATAATTAAGTGGGAAAAAGTAAGTAGTATACGTAGTTACTCGACAATCTGACATTTTTTGGGTCAAGACGTCTTTCTACGTACACTTATTGTGGTCATTAAAGGATATTTCATGCGTCGAACAAGTCTTATTTTATGATTTTATTGATTTACAGAGTCGATCTTGTTGAAATCTCAAGCTAGGCTGTGTTCTGCGGAGTAACTAATACTCTGTGGTTACTAATTTTCAAATAGTAGGATAATAACTTAGTTTTACAACAGAATGAGATGATGTTTATTTTGCAAAGAAGAAACTTTAGGAGATGAAGGATGTCGATGAATAACCAAATGTAACACGACAGCTTGCCAAAATTTAGTTTATGCCACCATCACTGGTTCACTTAAACAGTGGAGGTCAGCACCAAATGTTCAATGATGAAAGCTGTATATATGTCCATACCAAGTTCAGATTTAATAGTTTGAAAACACCGAAAATACCCATTGAGTCATGAAGAAAATAAAAGACAAATTCAGCGAAGAAAAATTATCGACGAAATCATCTTCAGAGGCTGTACAGTCGTATTTATACTTACAAAAATATATAGTGGTCTATTATTGAGTAATAGGGGGTGACATAATTGATATAATTACTCAGAAGTGGCTTTAGAAGTGAAAATTAGAAGTTGAAAATTACGTGGTACTCAACGGCAAAAAGATAGAAATTTGATAAGGTTAAAATTGCTATTGAGTGAGAATAAAGGTATTTGAGTGTCAATTTAACAAGTGTGAAGAGGGTGTGAAAATATACAAAAGGAGCATATGAGAGTGATAATAGTGAATTAATTATTAAAGCAAAAGCAAACTAAAAGTGAAATTAGAATGAAAAGAAAAAATCCAAAATATATTTTATTTACAAGGAACGATTAGTGAAGAGGTTAAGACCAAGGTAGAATAAGAGACTGGACAAACTTTTTCTGTATACAGAGCTCAGGGTTGTATTGATCAATTGCCAGAGCCTCCGCCATACACAAAAGCCGAAACCTGACGCCCTTTGTGCCATTTAGCTTCACTTTGTAGATGATCTTGAAAGACGATTCTGGTGGAGCTACGTGGCCTGAGTTCACCAAATGCTCGAGAATTGAGCTAGTAATTGTCTTACATTGTCCCTTTGCTAACCATGCCGGATAATGTTCAGAGATGTGTTTGGAAAGCGTGCGCTTTGTGCGGCCAATATAACTGGCTTCACGCGAGCAGGTGAATTTATAAGCACACATTGAGGTGGCCCAAAGCGGCAGTTTATCCTTCACACATCCGTTGATCATTTGTCGGCTGTAGAAATTGATACGTAGCTCAGCCATAAAGAAGGCTTTCCTCAGTGATCTGCATAAGCGATTCTTCAGGATCTCAGCTGCGGTATCACCTTTAAATTCAACACTCATAAACAGCAGTTTCTTCGGCACCGTCTGTATTCTTTCAGGTTTTTCCATTGGTTTCAGGTTTTTCTCGATAAATCTTGGAGGATATCCATTCTCTATGAGGACTTGTCTGAGTCGCTCCAGTTCCCCAACGATTGTTTGAAAACATTTGAGGATTGGGTACATTATATTTATTATGATAGAAAAATTTCTATGTTCCACAATGAGTGGAAAACAAAAAGCAGTTCAAAATGTATATCTATATTATAGTACCCATAAGTATAAGAATAAAAAATCCCTAATATATTTGACGTGGTTTGTATTAAGTATCTTAGGCACTGTTTACAAAAAAAGTGACCATAAATGATGACGAATCACATATGTAATAATCAGTGATCATCTGTCAAATGTTTGAAATGAATTTCAACACTAATAAGTGAGAAATTCTGTACTCCTACTGTCATACGATTTTCTCGAAGCATACAACAGGTTCTGTTAGCGTTCGAAGGCGATGGAGTGAAAACAGGTTAACTGGCTGATATCGCTGACAGCATGTTTGAAAAAATGTCTCGACAGATTTGACGTGTAAATCAACCGCCACACGGATGCATGGCTACTCATAAACACAAAATAGATAAAATGGCGTGTCAGTTAATCACTCCAAGCTTAGACAAATGACGTTGGACGTCTTACAACGTATGTCTGACATAGCGCACAGTGGTGCACATCGAAAGCATATATGCTGCTGTCTCCAGAAAGTAATCAGACGTGTCATTCTTCACTGTCATGTAATTTCCAATGGCACATTCTTTTGAGGAAAGAAAAGGATGTTGTTCAGTGAGAAATGCCGTTACCGGCCAACAACAGTGTTGCAGTTATCTACACGGAGTTACTAATGAAACGTCTGATACCTAATTCCTAGTTGATATAGGTACAAAAAGAGGGGTAATTCCACTCACATCAAACGAAAGGAAACACATTAATACTACGACAATTTTTGTAGCCGTAAATATTTCAGCTATTAACACATACGTTACTAGGATGTTGAACCTAGATTTTGGTCTTCTGTCTGTCTGTTTTCGACATAGAACTTTGCACATATGTGCGGCAGTTAAAGTCGCCACACTCCATGTAGCACACAAAGCAAGAGAAGAAAGTAGGAGAAATGCGTATTAGAGACAGTAAACAGAGGTGTGAGACAAGAAATAGTATTAAAGATGCAGTGCAGGGGGTATTTGGGATTACCGACGTCTCCTTCCCAATCGCCGGTGTATATTTTCTGCAGCACTTCAGATTACTGGTTGACGCAAAACAGAATAAACTTCTTAGTATTGACTCAAGCTGATTGCCGTCACGTATTCTCACCACCTGTATCTGTATGAATCTCACTACCACATCAGCACTGATCCGCTATACCTCAAATTATTAGAATCCTTTACAAAGTTAACACATGATACACTTCTAAAAAGTGAACCGAAACATTGTGTCACCCATCGCATTGTGAAGATGGGTTCACCAGTTGGCGTAAAACCGCATTGTTTAGGCCCTAGGAGCGCTAATAGCCGAAGCAGGCTTCAGTAGAATATTAAACCTTCGGATAGTCCGTTTATAGTTATCTCTGCTTCACATGATCCCAAGGATGAATTCAGGGTCAAGAGTGTGGGAGATTATTGGGCTTTAAAAAAGCAGAAAATCCTTGATGAATATCCATAGTCCCACATGCAAGACCTTCCCCGGTAATCTGCCTAACGTTAGTGTTTTTCATAAACTGACCTTGTGAGAGCTTACCACCATATTCCTATTCATTCTGATGATAACATGAGACTCAAGAAAGTCGCTCAGGCATTTCAAAGACTAATCAACAAGGTCTTCCGATCATATATGCAAGTGGTGACGACCCAATGACTGTCATTTTGGATGAGACTAATTGTCTGCGACATATGAAAGCTAATTTCAAGGAACTTGAGAAGTACAGTATGACAATTAACTTTGACAAATTACAGACTGAAAAACATCATATTTGTCCCTAGGATATCTGACTGATAACCAAAGAATTAGGTAAACTCCTGTAGAGATACAAATGATTGCAAACTATACATTTTGTGATTCAGTTAAGAAACTACTCCGCTTTAAAGTCTAAATAACTTTTATCGTCACCTTATACTCAGTTGTGCTACGGTTTTGCAACCGTTAGCCGACTGTTTACGTGGACGTGGCTGTTCACTCCACCTGTCAGCTGAATCTGTATAAAGAGTTGAAAAGATTAAACGCCACTTATGTGAAAGACTATTTTCACCAGATAAAACTTTGAAACTCCTCTTCCCTTTATGACAAACCATTCCGAATGTCACTGTCGGGACAGTTATACAGCAACAAGAACATGGTGAGTGACAGCCTCTTGCTTTCATTTAGA